TTTTAAAAATTAAGTTTATTATTTCTGCTTTGTAGTTATTAAGTTTAAGAAATGTATATAAAAGCGTTTTTAAAATTTTACTTTTAGCCAATAGGTTAAGAGTGTGAAATAAAAAATGTACAATAAAAATATTTTTAATAAATTATATTAAAATTGAGTAAAATACAACTTTCTGCCCTTACTTTCCTCCCGCATTTTTCCTCCTAATTGAATAATTCGTATATTTCGTCACACACACACACACACACACACACACACACACACACACACACACACACACACACGCACACACACAAAACAGAGAGGGTTTGGAGTCATGAAATACGGCGGAAGTGACGAACCGCGGGGTCCTTATCTCAAATGTTTAAATTTTTCTCGTCTCAGAAAGCCCTTTCGAACGAGCCTTCACTCGACCCCACATTCCATTTAAGATTTTTTGACCCCCTCCTACCCCCGCCCCCCGGAGGTGTGAAGAAGGGTGTTTTTGTTGTTAAATAATAGACTTTGTGATTCCATTGTATCCCTATAAATTTCAATCCTATATTCCAAACCATTCAAAAGTTATTTAGGTGGCCCGGAACTTTTGGCGGGCACTGTATAATAAACTCAATATTAATTACCCGGATAGACGATCAATATACTATCTCCCGAGGACATTTCATCTCCTACAATTGGTAGCAAAGCGTGGTTGAGTTCCTTGGGAAGAATAAGAAGAAGATATAGTGAGATCGACATCCGAGAGGAGACGCAGAATTAAGAGAACAAAGGCTTATGAGGTGAGACGATACGAAAATGGCGGAAAAACCGACATTGCCCACTGTTCCGCTATTGACGAGAGAAAACTACTTTAATTGGCGTATCAAAATGGAATTGATCCTACAATTGAAGAGACTGATAAGTGTCCTGAGGATCGATCGATCTTCGGGAGATGATAAGAGAAAAGAAAAGGACGAATGGGACGAGAAAAATGCCGATGCGGTGGCATGTATTCGTTTGTCGCTGAGTGATACCCAAATATTGCAGTTCGCTAATGAGACGAATGCGAAGCAGTTATGGAAAGTGATCTATGACACATACGCTGGACCAGCCGAGGATAGAGCCATCGATGCAGGAGAGGAACTAAAAAATATCCAGATGTCGGATAATGAGACGGCCACCGAATGCATAAGTCGTGCGAGGGGCTTGGCCGTGAAATGCACATCTGCAGGGCTAAATGTATCCGAGCGGCAGATTGTGTCCAACGTAGTCAGAGGGCTACATAATAAGTTTAACCAGATTCGTGATATCCTAAAGACGCAAAGGGATAAGAAGCTGGACGAGGTCCTGGAAATTCTAAAAAAAAAGGAAGGAGAAACACAGAAGAGGGGCAGTAACAACGGACAAGAGGCCGCTTATGCAACCAGAAATCCACATAAGAAGAACTCCCCAAAGAAGTGTTTCGTGTGCGGAAAAATGAATCATCTGGCCAAAGATTGCTATCATCGTAAGGACAAGACGGAAGACGTCCGAGTACCAAGGGAAGAATAAAAGAGACAGTAATAGGGGTAATCAAAATAAAAACGTTAATTTTGTATCAGAGGAGAGGTAGATTATGTTAGTTTCCAAGCGTTTAGTGCTAGTAATTACCCGAAAGATCAAAATAAATGGGTTATTGATAGTGGTTGTACGTCTCATATGACATTTGAGAGAAAATATTTTATAGATTTCAATCCGGTTAAAGGTAGAGTTTATTTAGCTGGTAAAAGAAACGTACTTGAATCTAAAGGAGTTGGTTCGATTAAAGTTAAATTGAGGGACGCCAAAGATAAAATTACCTATATTATGATGCACGATGTAATTTATGTTCCTGAACTGCGCACTAACTTATTATCTGTCACAAAGTTGATGGAACATAGACTCAAAGTCCATTTCACTGAATATGGGGCTAAAATTTGTAAAGAAAACGGTGATACAGTCGCAGTAGGAAAACGAGTTGATAACCATTTCGTGATCCATATGATTCCTATAATTAAAAACGAATGTAACAATGTAACTACTAATGAAAATATTTCTGAGAAGTTTACTGATGGTATTGCGAATATGTGGCACCGTAGATTAGGTCACGCAAATGATAAATATGTGCAGAGAATTGTGAGAGAAAAACTCGTTAGTGGCATTAACGATAAAGTAGGCGACAGTAATTGTGAAGCGTGTAAAATGGGTAAATTATCGCGAAAGCCACATAAGAGTACTGAATATGATCAGAGCAAAACAACATTAGATTTAATGCATATGGACATTTGTGGGCCCATGCCCGTGAAATCCATTGGAGGTTCGCGTTATATACTACTTATTATTGATGACTATAGCAGTATGTATTTTACTTACTTTCTAAAAAATAAAAGCGAGGCATTTTCTGTGTTTCAGACATTTTATGAAAAATGTAAAAATGTGCTAGGAAAGGGGATTAAGCGTATACGCAC